GTTTAGGGTTTAGGGGGGGCTTAAGGTTCCGAGATGTAAGGCTGGGCCGTAGTGTGTGGGGGGACTGGCGATGTGAGGCTGTAGGGTTAGGACTAAAGTTTAGGAGTTCTAAAGCTTGCGGTCTAGGGGTTTAGGGTAAAGGGATCTAAAGTTTAGGAGTTCAAAAAAAGCTTACGGTCTGGGGGGTTTAGGGTAAAGTAAAGGGCGTTATTCTGGACTGCCCTAAATCAAATCTCAAGCCTTCATGGGAGGCACCTGGTGACGTGGCTGTGTCCATGGGTACCTCCGACACTATGCTACTTCACTGGACGAGCATTGTTTTCCTTGGGCCGCACATGTGTAGGTTAGTTATGTTGAGATGTCGTTAGCAGTAGATGCTCGCCTGCATGGTTCCTGTCCAGTGTAGGGCCCTGGCATATACTTGTATAGCTGGTGCAGCTACTTGGTGCTCGCAGTGCTTCGAGATTAACATGCAAAAGCGTTATGACTGTCCTCGTTGCAAGACTTGTCAACGGTCCTTGTAATTATCACTTTTCCACTCTTGCCTTGCCATCACATATCGTGCCTATTGAAGTGGGAGTAACGGGTAGGTCTTGGTGTCGAGGTTCAGTGTGGAGGTTTAAGGGCACAAGGGTTGAGGCAAAGAGGACGAACTTTTACAACCTTCCGGATGGGAAGCAGGTCGACGATGAGGAAAGCCATAAGGTTTCTGTGCACATTATCCAAGGGTAAGCAGGACTTGTAGGCTCCACCCCCAAGTCTCTCAGCTCCAATCTCGCGAAACCCGAAGCAGCCTGAAGCCCCTAAGCCCTTGACCTTCAAGATTGAAATAGAAGAGCTTGAACGCTGCATGGGTGTAGGGTGTACCAGGATTTAGGAGTTCGAAGCACGAATTCAGCGGTGTAGGGTGTACCCGGACCCCAAATAACTTTCATTTCAAGGACGCATGTACAGAAATCAGACTAAGGAACCCTAAAGCAGAAGGGTTTGTAGGGTCCAGGTATCGGGATTTAGGAGTCCAAGACCAGGTTTGCCATGATGGCCAGCGCTTCCCCCGGGGAGGATGGTATGGTGCTCCGAAATCCCGTGGATCCAAATTCCTACATGGGCGCCTTGGTTGGGACTCGTGCCGTAAGCTGCATTGACCCACCCAAAGGGTCCAATGTACCTATA